ATGGAAGCATCAAGAAAATCATAACTAATGCAGTTTGGGGTTAGGAAATTGTTAGAGAAGGCATCCTAGAGGAGGTAATGACTAATTTAAATCTTACATGATGAATAAGAGTTGAATAATGAAACACAACAGTTTAAGAAATGCTAAGAACCAGAGAAAATGTTTAATACTATTGGAGCACAAAGTATGAGAAATTTGGGCCATAGTAACACAATTTTATACTTAAAAACAACTACTAACTAATGCATTTTCTCTCTTTGGCAGGTTGTGGGACTCGAAGGAGTAAAACTACAAAACAGAGTCTCAGGATTGTTGGTGGGACACAGGTAGAAGAGGGTGAATGGCCGTGGCAAGCTAGCCTGCAATGGGATGGGATCCATCGCTGTGGAGCGACTTTAATTAATGGCACATGGCTTGTGAGTGCCGCTCATTGCTTTAGAACGTAAGTCCTGAACCTCGAGAGCGACGGGGGGTAAGCAGAGTGTACTGGGGCTTGGCAAGAAGGAAATACCTTATGAAGTTTGGTAGAGATGAGTTTAGTGTATAGTAAAGAACATATACATCACAAAGAGTGGAAAATTCACAAACTGTAGTAAGAAGTTTTAGAGTCTGAAAATGGAAATGGCATTGAGGTACTTATAGGTAAATTATTCATTGATAAATAACAATAATTTGTCAAAGGTAGCAGGAATTTTAATGTCATCTTTGGACTTTGAGCTTGATGTCAAAGAGAAGAGCCGTATCTCTCTGCTGTGTATCTATCAGAGATGGATAGGTGGATCGTACATTTGACCCCAATGGGGAAATGTCACATGATGAGAATTAAATGTGAAGAAATCTGGCAGTAACAAATTATACAACTGAATAGGCTGACTAGCTATAGTCCAAGAAATGAAAGCCTTTCAAGTCAGTGTAAAAGGTCTATAGCATAGTGATGCTTTGTTAAAGTATTGTGTAGCCTTTTTGATTTTCAGAGAAATGTGTATGTTTGTGGATAGTTGACATGGTGCACGTAGAATACATTTAGTTCTCTCATTCTGCACAGGATATGCTTTCCATATATGTCCCTTGAAGTCACTGATGCCCAGAAAAGTCAAAAGGCCTTAGGATCTGGAGTGGGTGACTCAGCATGCAAAGCAGCATGTATATCCCAAGAAACATGTCATTGTGGGATTTCTACCTGATCTGACCCATGAACCCGATTTTCAGATTGGAAATAGTTTGTTTCTATACACAGAAACTATAATTTTAAAAAGAAAAACTTATACTGACACCTGTAGACTAAATTGCTTAGTAGAAATCATTATATTGGTAGCATGGTAAAGTGGAATTTATTCTTTATACTTTCCTTCTCAGGTATAAGGACCCATCTAGATGGACTGCCTCCTTTGGAGTAACAATAAATCCTCCAAAAATGAAAAGAAACATCCGGAGGATCATTGTCCATGAAAAATACCAATATCCATCACGTGACTATGATATTTCAGTTGCAGAGCTTTCTAGCCCCGTTCCCTACACAAATTCTGTTCACAGAATTTGTCTCCCTGATGCATCCTATGAGTTCCACCCTGGTGATGAGATGTTTGTGACTGGATTTGGAGCACGGAAAAATGATGGTGAGGACCTGAAGAGAAACTCAAATCATAGTAATCTAGTTTAGTGTTCTAAGGCATTTAAAGAATGGAATGTCTTATGCCAAAATATGTTAGTGGGTTGGTCATGCCAACCTGGGCCAAGCCAACCCTGCAGGTAAACCAAGTTATTTAGAAGATACATGAATTTCCTCATACCTTGGTTATTATCAAGTGCATCAGTACTACTATAGCAATAATGCTGGTAACGTGTCTGAAAGAATAAATATATTTGAACTTTTTACCAGGGAATTAACATCATAAGAGATTAGGGATCATCAATATATCCAATTGTGAAGATCGGAGAACCCTAAAACCGCTCTGCCCCACTAAAATTACCTTTTAAGCTTAGCAATGGAATGGTAATTACTTAAACAACTTTAGGTTCTTTTCTAGGCACCTAACTTTTTATTTAAAATAGGAAAAAATTCTCTCCCCAAATATTACTATATTTGAAAAAATACATATCCTGAGATTCTATATCACTATCTTGTCCAATAATTATGAAAGACTTTCTTCAGGTCTATAAAATATATGTATCTACAAATATGGAGATTTTTTTTTTCCCCCTTTAGGCAACAGTCAAAATCGTCTTCGGCAAGTACAGGTGGATCTCATAGACACAAAAACCTGTAATGAACCTGAAGTTTACAATGATGCCTTAACTCCTAGAATGTTATGTGCTGGTTCCTTGAAAGGAAAAAGAGATGCATGCCAGGTAAGTAGTCTGGTCTATTAGTGTGCAGTATAATTTTTGTTCACATTATATTTTGAATTAATTATAGATTTATAGAAAGTTGTGAAGATAGTACAAAGGGGTCTCATGTACCCTTCATCCAATGTTCCCCAATGGTTACATCTCACATAACTATAGTATACAATACAAAAGCTGGAAATTGACATTGGTACAATGTTTGCTTCTAGTTCTATGGCATTTTGTCACATGTGAAGATCTATGTAATTACCACTACAGTTGAGAACTATTTCAGTACCACGAAGATCTTTCAGAGTAACACCTACTTTCCTCCCCCATCACTCTCTCATCACTAACATCTGGCAATTGCTAGTCTGTTCTCTGTTTTCCATCTCCATAATTTTATAATTTCAAGAGTGTTATATAAATAGAATCATGCAGTAATTTTTTTTAGAATTCCATTTTGATTTATCTGTTAGTGTTTTTGACTAGACATTCTCTTGGGTTATCGATCCTTTTTGGGGTTTGCTAAGTTTTTTAAGTTGCAGGTTTATGTTCTTTGACAAATTTGGGAAATTTTCAGCTATTATTTCTTTGAACATTTTTCAGCCCCACCTTCTTTTCTGTCTCCTTCCAGCTCTAATACAGGAATGTTAGCTCATTTTTAATAATCTCATAATACCCTGAGCTTCTGTTCATTTTTTCTTTTCCGCTTCTCTCTGTTGTTCTGATTGGGTAATTTCTATCATTGTATCTTCAAGTTCACTGATTTTTAATTCTGTCGCCTCCATTCTTTTATTAAGACCATTCAGTAAGTTTTAAAACATTTTTTTGATCATTGTATTTTTAGTTCTAAGATTTCCATTTGATTCTTTTTCTATATCATCTATTTCTTTGCTGAAACTTCTTATTTTTTTCATTTGTTTCAAGCACGGCAGTAATTGCTTGTGAAGATATTTTTGTGATGGCTGCTTTAAAATTTTTATTAGATAATTCCAAAATCGGAGTCATCTTAGTGTCAATGTTCGTCGATCGCCTTCTCTCATTCAAGATTTTCTTGGTTCTCGGTATGAGAGAGATTTTCAAATGTATCGTTGATATTTTGAGTATCATTATGAGACTCTGGATCTGACCTAAATCTTTTATTTTAGCAGGCTTCCTCTGACATCACACTAGAGGAGTAGAGAGGTGCTGCCTCATTCCTCATTCATCCTCCTTTGACACCTGGGTGGGAGTGCAGTGCCTCATTTTGCTGGGTGGAGGTGGAATTTCAGGCTCCCCAGTAGGCCTCCTCTGATACCACTCTGACTGGAGCACCTTGTTACTGTTCCCCTTGGGGCCTCCACTGGTGTCATGGGGTAGTGATCTCATTACTGCTTGGCAGAAGTGAGAGTCCTGACTCTCTACTAGGTCTCCTCTGATATTATCCTAGTGGGAGGGAGAGTTATACCTCATTACTACTGGACCGTACCCTCTCCCCAGCTGGTCATGACAGAGGGGATAGAGGAGGCCTTTGTTGTCACCTGGCAAAAATGAAAGTCTGCTTCCCCACTCAGTCTTCTCTGACACCAGTCTAGTGAAGGCATTGGGCCTCAATACAACCTGGTATGGGTGGAATTCCAAGCTCCCCACTTGGCCTGTGCTGACAGGGGTTGAGATGGGGCCAACAGGGTTTTTTTTCTTCTCTGTTTGGCTGGAATAGAGAGGATGCTGTCTAAATGTTTTTCTGTCCTCCTAGGTTATTTCCCTTTCTGGTTCGTTGACTAGAGAAAGAAAGCTTTTCTTGAGGCTTCTTTTTCATTTGCACCTATTGACAAGTTGCTGGTTTCTTCAGCTCCATGCCCAGGATAAATGAAGGGAAAACAGTTAACAACAATGACAACAACAACAAACAAAACAAAAGCAAAACAAAACAAAAAACTAGGGTCCAGGAAGCTCACTGCTGCATCATCCCTTGATTCCTGAGGTTCTTAGCTTATCGGCCTTCTTTGCTCTACCTTTCAGAATCATTTTATATTTATTTTTAATGTCTATGATTTTTTGTTTTTGTTTTTATCTGTATTTAGCTTGGGTAAAAGGAGTGTCTATTCCATCTTGGTCCAGAGCATAAACATCTTTCTGGCTTCACTTCCCTTAATGCACAGCTGATCTTTAGTTCTTTCCCAACGTTTACCTCTGGCTCAGTCACTTCAGTTCAGTTGGTTACATTAAACTCTTTTGCCCAACCGACCTTTCTGCACACTTCTGGCAAATGCTGAAGACTAAACTCATTTCACTGTGTTTCTTTTTCTGCACTGAGGCCCTGTTTGTTCATGAAGGACGACATGAAACAATGTAGATTGGGTCTATTACAAAATTGTACAGAAAATTCAAGTTGATTCTGTACATAAACATACTAAAATAAACCAACTTAATAAAAGTTTCACTGGAAAATACACTCAATTATCATTATTTGCAAATTCCATACTGAATTTACCTACTTGCTAAGATTTGTTTGAAAATCTCAAAGTCAATACTTAAGGTGCTTTCATGGTAATTCACGAACATGTGCCGGGCGGCAAAAAATTTGAGTCACCCAATGAACATGATCCCATAACAAACAAAACAAAACAAAAGCAAAACAAAACAAAAAACCAGGGTCCAGGGAGCTCACTGCTCCCTGGTGATGCTGCCTTCTTGTTTTAGCTTTAATACCATAAACTTAAGTCCTTTTTGTGGCCTATTTAGTGCCACATTTTCCACATTTTTGTGTTTTTGGTGATTTTGCTATTTAAAATAGTCCCCAAGTGTAGCTCTGCTGTGCAAGGAGGCTGTGTGATGTGCCTTATGGAGAAAATATGTGTTAGGTAAACCTCATTAGGCATGAGTTATAGTGCTGTTGGCTGTGAGTTCAATGTTAATGAATCAAAAATATATGTTAAATAAGGTGCCTTTAAACAGAAAACACACATAAGATTTGCTTATGTATTGATGAGTTGACAAAAATCTGACTAGAGACTCATGGAAACCTAACCCTGTATTTACCTAGGAGCAATGATTGACTATTCACTAATTCAGTGTTTATAGCGACTTCATAGAATATAGCTACCATGAATAATGAGAATCAACTGTATTTTATTTGTTTTCCTGATAGTCACAGAAAATAGAATCTACAATCATTGTTTAGACGTTATTGTAGATCTTCTGTCATCTTAATCCCCTTCATCCTACTTGCCTCTAAATTTAGTAAAACTATTGAAAACACCTTGTGCTTCACATTTGTGATCATCATTTATGATCTTCATTCAAACACCTCAGCCCCTATTCATAGTAACTGTCTTCCTAAAAGTTTCTGAGGAACAGCTGTATTCTTTTTTAGTCTTTTATTTTTAATTTTTTATTACACAAACTTCAAATGTATACAAAAGTAGAGCAAACAGTGTAATGAACCCCCATGTACTTAATCACCCAGCTTCAACAATTTTAAACACAGCAAATTTTATTTCATCCCTGTGTATCCTAACACAATCCCCTCAACCCTCCCCTCCACCCCAAAATTCCTGATCTATTTTGAAGTAAATCACAGAAGTCATATAATTTTAGCTAAAAATATATCTCCTATTCTATAATGCTACTTTGATGATGGTATTAAAGGTGAATGTTCTTTACAAATTTGGGAAATTAAAGATGGATAACCAAGTTTAGCCTTGGATTACAATTCCTTACTTTGCTATCTCTGGAGAGAACTGTCACCCATCTTTTTTTTCTTTCTTTTTTCTTTTATGTCTAGCACCGACAATTTTGCCAGTTGACTGGCTTCCTATGTTTTAATATCAGAAAAAATCATCAATAACCTCACATGCAAAAATCTTTACTTGTGTCTCCTACTGTTTTCCATCTTAGTGGCATTTTGCTATGTATTCTTTGTTAAAATATGATCCTTCTTTTAGTTCTATGGATCTGAAATATGCTGATTTCCTCCCCTCCTCTCAAGCACTCAGCTCTGGTTCCTTCTTTTGGTTCCTCTTTCTCTCCTTCTGTCTAAGCCTGGCTGTACCTCAAGGCTCAGATCTCAGACGAAATTTTTCTTTTCTCTATATATTCACTGAAAGAAGCTATCTTTTCATTGAACTCAGCTGTCACTTTAATGACTTCTAAAATTACATGTCCAGAATTAACCTCTTGCCCAAATTTAGTCTTATCTACTCCCAAGCTTTTTTCATTTATGCATATATGTTTTAAGTTGTTAACATAAGACTAAAATTCGTGTATGTGCAATCACAAACTCATTGGGCATCTTGAAATGTTAAACTGGATTTTCCATTTTCAAGTTTCTCATTTATGTTATCAGGATTCTTGGAATCTTTTACTCTTATATCTCCTTCACCTGTAGTCATTCAAGTCCTAGAATATTGCTCCCAGATTTATCTCTTTTGTCTCCATTAATTCTGTTAACACTCGATTTCTTCATTAATTCATATCTTGATCACTAGAATTACTCCCTGGTTGGACTTCTAATTTTAAAAGTTTCTGTTATGTGCATCCCTAAGTAAACTTCCTGTTCTGCTTTTCACTAAACTGCTCACTAAAAATAATAGAATGTATGGAAAAAATAGGGTTGGAGACAGACCAACAGACCCCACAAAGGCTATGGAACTTTGTAACCAGAGAACTAACAACAACAAATAATTGTACCTTGAAAAATAACTTGGAGGAGTGTAGGCAGGTAGAATGCCCAGGGTGGCTGGAGGCTGACTTATGGGATGTCAAAAATGCATAGAAACAATAGAGTTGAAATATTGGCTTCTTGAGGCTGACACAATGCACATGGGAGTGCAGCCCTGAGCAGAGGAGGCAATGCATCCAGCCAAGCTCTAAGAACTAAGCCAGGCTGGGGTGTGCCTCTTTGTGTGCATGTGTGGTGGTGGTGGTGGTAGGTTAGGCACAGGAACTTTTAAAACATTTTGTTAAAACAAAGTCCCAAAGGCTTCTGCCTGTGAATAGCTGAGTTGATAGCTTTTTAATTTTCTCCTGAAGATTATAATTCTCTTCCCATTATTCTGACTTCCCGGAGTGAGACAAAACACATATAAATCATCACTTCCATCTTATATTGACAAAACTCCTCAATTTACACATGATTAGCAGAATAGGCTGTATCTTTATGTATTTGGTGCTTGCTGGACATCACCTTATTTTTCATCTTCATTGCTGTTAGGTACTTTGTCATCTTTTTTCTTTGATTACTTTATTTTCAGACTCCTTTACTCTTCCTGTTTCTTAAACAGATTTAAACTTTGTTGTCTCTGGCATCTACTATTTCTTCATAGTAAACTGATCTGCCTAGACCTGGGTTTCAATTGTCAAAATGATTTATTTTCAAATAGCATCAGATGGCATATATATTTTTATAGATTGTAGGCTCGTTGAAGGCACGTTTCTACTCTCTTTATATCTCCTACCACGTATGCAGGCATCAGTAAACAATTATTGGTAATTGATTTAAAAATTAAAAACACATTATTTCAAATTCAGCTATTATAAGTTAATTTTTTACATGGATGAAAGAAAAATTCACAAGGAAGATAGTATAATGTAGGGGAGGAAATGGGTTCTGAGTTAGGTCACTCTTATTCAAATTTAAGTTCTGCCTCTAAATAGCATGTGACAACAGGCAAATTAGTTAATTTCTATGCTTTTCAGCTTCTTTATTGTTAAATGGAGAAAATAAGACCTAATCCCATGTTTTGTTGCCAGAATTACTGGAGTCAATGAGATAATATGCTAATTAAGAGCTTCATAGAGTGCTTAATATTTAATGGTACCAGGAATTTGAGGAATGATCAGCCAGTACCTTGTTTTTATGACCTTTTTAAGGAAACGGCCCTCTGAGTTCATAAGAAATAAACAATGGCATTTTGTATACGTATTTACTAAGTCCTGCTTTGTGCCAGGATCTATGCTAGACATTTTATCCACTGCTTTACATAATCTGCAAAATAATCATCAAAGGTAGGTATTATTCAGAGCATTACAAATAAGTAAACTAAAGGTCTTAGCCAGCTTGGAAGGGCCCAACTTGAGATTTAAACCCAGGTGTCTGACTCTAATGTTTGTGCTCTTTATCAGTGATAGACTCATCACTCTTCTTTCAGGAACTGTGCCACACTGATAAAGAGGCAACCAGTATGGACAGTTACTTTGTCTGACATAACTGATAGGTTATGAACACTGTTCTTCAAAGAGATGGAGACTTTAATATCAGTATACTGAACCTTGAGGCTAAGTCAATTCTCCAGGTGGTGGAGCGCCTCCTTTATGCAAATGACTGACTTAGAGGGAATCACTTGTGTATTTGAACACATTGAAGACTTTTGAGAGCCCCCTTTTCATTGAACTCAAGTTAGAAAAATAGTAAACTCCTCTGTAGTGAATGAATTATTAATTACGAATCTCTTCCTTCTCCTTTAGGGTGACTCCGGAGGACCACTGGTTAGTCCAAATGCTAGAGATATCTGGTACCTTGCTGGAATAGTGAGCTGGGGAGATGAATGTGGGCAACCCAATAAGCCTGGTGTTTATACTAGAGTGACTGCCGTCCGGGATTGGATCACTGCCCAAACTGGTATCTAAGAGAAAAATGTAGTAGAGTGGAGTGCATTTTTGTTCATAGGCCATTCTTAGAGATACAGAATTGCAGAAGAAGCCTTGCAGGTCCCCTGGATCTGACCCAAGAATGAAACTGTCTGCCTGATGCATAATTTCCATCCTAGCTCTGCTCCACATGTGAGCATTCTGTTTCTGCCAGATGGATTCAGTCTCAGCTTATATTCATTTATTTTCTAATTTTCTGTCATTGAAATTTTTGCCTTGTTGACATAAATTTATCATGCATATATACAAGTTGTAGTGATCCCTTCCTTCATTGCCCCACTTCTGTCAATCAGTACATTTCCACTTTCAAGGTGCAGGACAAAGAATAAAAGGAAATAGAAAAAGGAAAAACTACATTTTTATATACAGAAAATATCGGGTGCTTTTCTTTTCAGCAGAATGAGGAAAATGATCATATTCATTATGAAATATCAAGCAGAGACAGCAGAATATCAAACACTCCATGATGGAGAAAGAATAGGAACTAAGTTAAGGAAATATTGAGAGAAGCCAAGATATAGCTTTTTTTTTTTTTTTTTTTTTTGGTCAAACAGCTACAGAAATAAATGTGGGGAACATTCTGTTTCCTTGCAACTGACAATATTCATACAAATTCTATATAATGTACTGTTCTGACTAACTTAAAGCAAATAATATTCATTTAAAATTGCAATGCTGAGGATGTCAATATATATATAATAATAAAAAGTAATAAATCTCTCATTTGCTTGATATTATAATATGGTAATCTCGGAAGCAGAGAAAAATGGAGAAATGTCAGTAATTAATTTATTGCAAATCCTCTTAAAATCTGAGGCTAAAATGAAAATTTATTTAAGAACAACCATCTATGTGGTAAGATTTTTGTGTGATTGAATGGGAAGGAACAAAGAATCAGTTCAAACTATTGAATGAAATGGGATTATCACTAAGTGCCTGTGTGTGAAGCTTTCCCAAACTGCAAAGCCTTGAATGGGAATCAAGTCCAGGGGTTAGTATGTATTATACTCATGCAAATTAAGCTAGAGCTCAGACCAACTTTCTGAAATAATTGCAGATCTTCTTTTCTCGCTGCTTGTGGTTCCATCCCATGCTTGCACTGTGGGCTTATCTGAGTTCAGATGGGAAGGTGTCATAGAGAAGATATTCTGGAAGCTGACTCCCTGTTAAATCTAGTATGGCATTGAATTACCAACTGCTTGGATACAAAACGGGAGAGTAAAAACCTAATATTAGCCACCTTCATAATTTTAGTTTTGGTAAATTACTGCTGAGCTGGTAGAGACACACTATTCAGGTGATCTAGGGCCATTGTAAAGTTAGGAATGGTGCTATGACATGTACCACGTTAATGGAGATTTCACTGAATCTTTCGTTAGCCTTCCCTCAGTTGAATAAAGCTACTCATACAAGTTCTGTATTACACCACACCACTTTGAAAACCAACGTTACTAGAAGTATTTTGACTTTTATTGACCCAAATTACATTGGCATATGAGCAGATAAAATTTAGGCACTTGGCTAAAATATGAAAACTGGCATGAATTGATATGTCAAATATTTTGCAGAAACTGTTTTTGTTCCATTTAATAAAACATTTTGAGGAGAAAACAAGATAAAGGGAAGTGATGAATTTTAAACAAAGATTTAAGTACATTTCAAACTAAATTACTCTCAGTGTTCCATTAAAAAACTGGTCCCCCCCAACAGGTGGCAGGATGGCTCAGCTAAAAAAAAAAAAAAAACCACCAAAAAACTGGTCCCCCTAATTTCATATATTCTGTAGCTGGGCCTCTAGGTGGCATCCACAAGCTACAGGAAGACCCAGGGAAGAAAGCTATCTGAATCTTCAATCAATAATAAAAGCTGTAGTAGAAATTATATATTAGGGTCTTGTGAAACCCTAATATAAAGGATATAATTCATCTTTGAAAAGGCATTTAAAAATGAATCCATGTAAGCTGGCATTATGATTAGTATTTTCCAGATTTCTGGATGTGAGTTTCCAAAATACAATAAAATAAAATTCATTAACATGTGACATGAGAAATTTCCTCTGTAAACAAACTTGAAGAGATTTAAATTGAGAAATTTTAGAAGTTTAATTTCACAATGGCATCGTATTCCTCAGAAAAATATTTTTGATATTTTCTTTTATAAAATTTGGAGAAATAGAGATTGGGTCACAGTGAAAATAGGAGTGATAGTTCAAACTTTATGTGCACAGAGAAATTGATAATACAGATTCATATTTTTAAAATGACAACTTCTTTTGAAAGATAACGTATAAAGGGTTTCAGTATTCTTAGAGATGTCTGTTTTAATCAATTCATTGGAGAAAGTTAAGTCATGATACATAATATTTATCAATTGTACAGAGGGCAAGCAGTTCTTCTATATCTTTTATCTCTCTTCCTACAGCACCTAGTAAAGTGCTCTGTAGCTAATAACAGTCTTTCAATAAACATTGTTAAACCACTCTTTTATTTTTGTATTATGCAGAAAATACAGCTTAATTATTGTTTACACATTGATTTTAAGGAGTACTACCAGATTTTACACTAACTGTGTGACTAAAGCTAGTGATTTAAACACTCACTAATATTTACCTCAAATGATTTGTTGTAGGGATTAAAATGAGATAATGTTTGAAGTGCTTAGTACAATTCTTAGAACATAATCGGTGCTTGAAAAATGGTGCTACTGTTAACTGTTGTAATGAAATTACAGTCTTATTTGGAATAATTGGTACTTGATCATAATAGGTTGAATAAATATTTTTGAAATGAAAAGATAATTAGACCATCAGAATGGGCTGGTTTCTTGTTTAATTCTGATTCTACAAAAGATTTTATTGGGATCATTCCAAAATGTATTTTACAGTTTTTCTCTGGCTGTTATTTTAATTTTCATTTCAACTTTTAAAAATGACAAACCTTATTAACCACAAAGTGACTGGATTATATCAAGAGCTATAGTTTAGTTCAAATGGTGCCTCCTCCATGAAGCCTTCCTTGACTCCTTCAAGTGGATGAAGTTAAGGAATGCTTCCTCCTTTCTAAAATTCATTAACATTAAAAAAACAAAAGTTTTTTATTTTCAGATAATTATAGACTCCTGTAGAGTTGCAAAATATAATACAGAGAGGTCCTGTGTATCCTTTATTCAGTTTCCCTCAATGGTGATATCTTGCTTGTAGTAAAATATCACAAGAAAGTTGATATTGAGACAATCCATCAATCTTATTCAGACTCCATCAGGTTTGAAAACATTTAATTATGTCTGTATGTGTGTATTTAGCTCCATGTAAATTTTATCACATGTGGATTTATGTGAGCACCACCAGTCAAGGTACAGAATAGTTTGAACACAACAACCCCTCATGCTACTCACAGCTACCTGGCTCCCTCCCTACCTCTTTCCCCAGTATAACCCCTGGCAGCCACCAATCTGCTCTGTATCTTTATAATTTTGTCAATTCAAGAATTATACATAAAGAGAATCATACAGTATATAAATTTGTATGTTGACTTTTT